CTGCAATGATTGTAGAGCACTTGTTTGACGGACCGTAAAAGCTTCACGAGGCCAAAGAATTCTCATCGTCATCATCTGATTTGCCGGAAAAGAAAAATTAAAATTAAAATAAAACCTACGTGATCGTATTTTAAATACGGTCACCACAACTTTGTAGTACACAAAAAAAGGTTCTCTTTTATTTTTTAAACAAAGTTTCATAATGAAGTATTAGCCGGAAAATTTAACTTTTCCAGTCGACTCTCTTCGCGCTCCGACGCGCGAATGCGTGCAGAATATTTAGTAGTAATTCACTCGGGTATTTTTATTTTATATTTTTAATGAAAAAATAAAAAACGCATTTTGCTATCGCAACCGACGTGCAGCAATCGATTAACGTTCTTTTTCATCCGAACATAGCGTTGTTCGATTTATCGCCATGTTAAGGGTATAATAACAATTGTGCCGAAATTGAATTCAGCTATCCCCAGAAATTGACACCGAACACCCGCATCTCGTATCCAATGGCCGTTTCTCTTTCGTGTACGCTGCTTTTATTATGTTTGTTGTCCTCGGTGATCCTTTTGTTGCGGACTACTGCTGAAATTACTACGATTTGTTAGCAACCATTCCAAAAATACATACCATTTCGACGTTGCTTGGCAAATGAGGTTTTGGCCCATGTTAGGCTGACATCATCATTATTATCATCGTTATCATCATCATAGTATTGCAACAACGAGTTAGCGAAGCGGCTAACTACAATAATCATCGCAATATTATTATTATTAAATTTGTACCAACGACAATAATAGTAATGTTCCACGACTTTAGGTCGAGCCGACAGACACAGCCATAGTAATTTGTAAACGAACCATGATTTATGACTAAACCACCGTATATTGTCATTCAAACGGCCAAAACTTATCCAAAACACCAAGAATATCGAGATAAATTATTATTATCATAACGCTTACGAAACCGTCCACAAATAGCCCAATGTTGTAAACCGGTCTGTGATTATGCACATTATATATTTTCTTACCAGATCGTTTATGAATCGCATTATTGTTTGCTGTGTTTCTTTTTGGCGTACAAGTGTACTTCTGTTCCAACACAAAGTATAATAATCGCGAACAAATCGTAGCCAACTGTTCGGTTACGATAAATAATTATTATTTCGACTGCAACCCTAAGATTACTACGTCTACTATTGTTATTATAAATTTGTCGAACAAAACCTGTGGTGTGGCGATACAAGGTAAACCGTTGTTAGGAATTTAGCGTGTGCTACTATAAATTTTGGTATTCAACTTGGTGGCAAAATACAAACGAGGGACTTTGGGCAACTTCAGTTTAATTAGTTGTATACCGACCTGGAAATTGCCCGTACCGTTGCGTTAGTCCAAGTTTCGATACGCTTAATATTTTATATTGGCTAAAAGTTTTTCACGTAATAGCACCGGGTGTGACTGTTTTAATAATAACAATAATAAATATTTAGGCATTTCTTATTGAGTTATTTGCGGGAACGATAAAACTGTACATTTATCATTATTATAACCTGCAAAAACAGCAAGTGAAAATTTATTTATATCGGGGAAAAATTAAATAAAATAACGTTGACGGCAACAAAGGTAGAAGCGAGCGTGACAGTTAAAGCCCCAAATGCACTGTAGCCGTAAAAAAGCGTCACCCAGCAGCGCGATGAGTGTTGTGGGTGTATAATAAACTCTACATTTTACTAGAACGGTCCGTTGTCGTATAGGTACGTGTGGTATTATTTTCTCTGCAATTTCTGGTAAAATTTCACATAGAATACACCTTAAACCGATCCACTGTAAAAGCACTGAGGTCATATTTCATTTTGAATTATTGCGCGTACAAGGTATAACCCGTCTACATTGGTTTTTAGAAACGACTACATTTCTGTTATAAGGGATGCCTCGGGTAACCGCTCCAAATTATGTTCTGAACTTTACTTTAGCGTCATTTTACATTTAACTTAAACCATTCGAAAATGAATACAGACGACTCAGAAATTAATTTTTTTTGTAATTATTTTGGACAAGAGTTGTAATGTACTCTATCCATGTTTAAAGACCATTTGAGCCAAATTTGTTTTTTAATTACTATAGTTAACTGAAGTCATAATGCTGTTATAATCTATAAGCTGTGTGAACGCAACTATTCCAGCTGAAAATTACCCTTGGAAACAAGAGAAAATAATATAAGCGAATTTAGATACTTTTTTAGAACTACTGTGCAATCTTAAGAGTTGTTTTTTATCATTTAAACGTTTATTTAATCTTATCTACAACAACTCTGAAAATTTTATGCTATGCACTGGTCAAATCGTTTTAATTACACTTTTGGTTTTCATTTGTGTTGCTTATACACTCCAATGAAATTAACATAATTAATTGTTGTATGACATTTTTGGAACTAAATGCAAAAAAATCGCGTAATTACACAACAGTATTCAAATAAGAGAATTAATACTCAATTAACAAAAAGTTTTGACCATCAGTTATAACGCTTAATGGTTATGTATCTATAAAAAGATAGATAATATTATATGAAAGCAAAAAAATGGTTCGGCAGAATCTTAATGGGATTTCAAAGAAGAAAAGAACGTGATAGTCACAAGAGCTACTGTACACTATACAGATTAGTGGGCTCATCGTTTTTGCTCGTGTATCACTGAACATGTGCTATCCGGGTCGGAATAATGAGGCTTGGCCACAATGGTGGGTTAAAGAGAAAAAAAACAATAAAAACTTATTCGTGTATACATTATAAATACACTAGACACGAGGCTTTTTGTTTGACTTGAAACGACTATGCTTACCAACCTTTGTAACGCGCGTTTAACTAGACATGCACACTTAACAATACTGCCGAGTCGACAACTACACCATATCACCTTTACCGTATCTCATTCCCTACCTATGGAAACACCCGTATACATACTCATAGTGTCTGAGTTCTGTCGAAAGAGCTATAGCGCTATATGATGTTTCTTAGAGGACAGAGGGTGTTGCCATAGCCACAGGTCGAGTACTCTCCGACGATGCTTTTTTTTACGATACTGAAGTATTAGTTGTACAACTACTTCTACTGGTATTACCTCTGCTGGTGGTGGTATTGCTACATGAAGTAGGTCGGAACTTGACGTTGTTTAAAAAGAACTTCCACTGATGGTGTTAAAGAGTCTATGTAGAAAAAATCCATGAAATTCTGTGAAAGTATATTAAAGTGATGAAATGTGGGCGCGGAAAAGAGAGGAAAACACTTGCAGCGCCCAAAGACATAAACCTTCGAGTGCCCACTTGTATAGATGCCGAGGGAATTTTTCTTTTGTCAGTTATTTTGACGGGACCCACTCAAACAAGCCTTTTCGAATATATAAGTTCATTAGACTCTGTCACACCGCTTGATTTTTATTTTACAGTGATGGAAATTAACGAAAAAAGTTACTGACTTACAAGCTAAGTTTGTATACGGTTTTAAAACATGCATTATGTATTATTTATAAATAGTTTAACGAAATCACTCGAAAATTGTTATTTTAAGTTTTAACTATTGCATCGTGTGAATAAAATATTAAACTTTTTTGCATATACTCTTACAAAAAATTCACTTGTCTATGATCCCATTGTAAAAAATGTAGACGTTATTGACGATTAGAATTGGATATTCTTTGAGTTTTACAGAGCATATAACGATAGGTTACTTATTCCTATCAACGAATTTTTTTCGATATCTGCTAAAAACATAAATATATAGCTATTATTTATGTTTATTTCAGGTTGATAACCAAATAATTTTAACTGCCGTAATACACGAACAATTTATTCAACGCATAGATTTTAAATATGCCATCGAGAATAGCAACATTATTTAAATACAAACATGAAAAAAATATGAAAAAAGCAAATTTGTATGGTGGTTCATTTTTTTTCATTGGAAATCGACGTGTAATAATGATCATTTTTTTAATACAATAATTTTTGAATAATATTCAACGAAATAAAATATTAATTCTTTAACTATATACTATAAATGAGACATGAGCAATCTCCTCACTGTTGTATATAAATAATACAGTCTATCGATGCTGTTTAAAACTTAGCAATTTTATAAACAAGTCGATACAAAGAAAATAATTATATATGTTTATTTTTTTAATTCAGAATAGTAATAATCTATTCGATATACTTATGTACCTCATACATTTCGTCGAAGGATAGTTGAAGTTTTATTTCGTCTTCATTTTTTCATAATAATTTTAGTTCCAAATAACGTTTCTCATTTCGTTGTGGTATGAAAGGTAGTCCCGTCCGGACGTCTGTTGTTTACTTCCGGTCTGATTCATCATAAAAGACGACGCAATCAAGCCACTGTGAAAATCCGTACAACTTTATACTGTTCTACAGTTCATAGTCATAGCAATGAGAATAGACATTTTGTTAAAGAGAAAATAATTAAAGGTCTTTGGTAAACCTTACTATTGCTAAAAACAATCACAGCCACAGGATTGAATCTTTCATAAGTCCAATAAATGGGTACAAACCAATCACAAACCTAGTGTTGCATTGTTCCAAGTTATCTGCAACGTAAATCGAATAGATTCGTTGGTTGAAAATTTACTATAGACCAAGAATACTATGTGATGGAGTCAAAAACTTGTTACTGTTTACAGCAGTCACGTATTATCCGCACCGTTATTTTTTTTCAATCATTAAACTTTTCTATTGTTAAACTTGTGACATAATGCATTTTAACGTCTTATTTCTTAAAGCGATTTTCTAATTGTTGATTATAAATTAGGATCGTTTAAAAATACTTTGACAATAACGATTAATTAACTGATCTGTAGATTTATGAAAAAGTTACTGTTTGGTAAGTTGAATTTCTTAAACAGGTATTAACAACTCTAGATTAGTGATAACGTCATTTATAATAATTTTCAAAGTTATTGAAGTAGCGTTAATTAATCAATAAACTTTTGTTTACAGATTGATCCAAAAGTTGCTTTCCCGCGACGAGCACATCCAAAAGTAAGTACTCAATAGCTTATTATAATTTTCATAATTAATAATAAGAAGGATAAATACAATTAATTAAACTCAAATACCTTATAATAATAAATAAGTAATATACTTATTAACCTTATATTATTAAAAGCTTAACAAACAAATAATCAACTCTTAGAGAAAGTAACGAGTTTTAGGAAGTTATAGTAAATGTTTGCTACTACTTTTTAGATTAGCTTCACATACGCTACTAACAGGACAAAATAAAAAGGTAGCTTAAATGATTTGATTGAATAGGGTCGCATTTAATTCAAGTGTAACTAGGTAAGGCTTCGTTACACTAGATTATATAAAAGTTTTCATTTAGTCTGCACAAAAAAGTTTTTACTAGAGACCTGAATGAAAAAAAATATTCTAGAAAATTAAATGTTCTTTTCGGTTTAGAAGACATTTAGTTGCTATTCTAATATGAGTTTTTAAAAAAAGATATCTGTATATGAAACACACGTGAATGTAAAAGTATGAAAACATTTTAATAATTAATAACGTTGCTAATAATATTAACTTGATACACAATAAGAAAGTGTGTGTTACACTTTTGGAATAGCAACTTGGGGACTATAAAGTATTGCCAAGAATAGGATTACTCTGGCGTTTTGCAGTATTGTGTAAATTTTGTGTTTTATAAAGTTAAACGAAAATTGGTTGGAAAATTACAAAAAAAAAGAAAGAAATACTGAAACATTAGAAGAAACTAACCGAGTTGGTTTCTTGCCAACGTATTTGCAGCTATAAACATATCAAATATTTGATGAAAATATATTTTATTTTATACGATACTAGATGTCAATTTGAATTAATATATAAGGTCAGATTTAACAGTTCTATCGCCAAACTTCAAGATATTTAGTCAGTCTTTTTAAATTTCGTTGATTGTTCTAGTCGTTAAATAAATAATAAAAATAAAAAATATTCACAGTACTTTGTTAATTTTCAATAAAACGTAAATAGATGCCATAAGTTTTATTTAATAACACACAATCAGTAGTTATCAGCGGTATTCAAACATAAAAACATGTAGGAATCCCCAAAAAGATTTATTTACACTCCTGTGAGTCATATGACGTGATATAGTATAATATCGTGTAAGTCTTGAAAGATAAAACGTTGTTGGAAGTAAAACGATGAATTATTTAAAAATTTCGATATCACTAAAGAAAACATATTTTACTGTTTTGTTGATTCCCCGACGAAAATAAACGTAATCAAATGTGTGAGAAACATAGCAAATCTTTATGAGCATTTAAATGAAATACAATATGTTGAATTTTTCTATGATTAAATAAAATAAAAATTAACTTTCGCTATCTCTGGATAAATAAACAAAAGAAAACAATACGATAAAATCCCGACGTCTAATATATTATTGAGTTTAGTGGCGAAATAGGTTTTCAAAAGGGCAAATGTACCATTTCATTGGCCACATATTGGCAATATGCTGAACACTGCCGGGCATATATGCACGTAGGTGCACATTTTGAGATCTTTATTTTATTGAAAACTTCAAAAGACCATGAAGACGGCAACTACGACGACTCGGTGCCGAACCTATCTGAATCTTTTAAGGGGGAAATATGTGTATACTCGTTCACGTATGCGAATAAATACGAGGGCTCGCTATACAACGACTTTTACAAAAGTGGTTTTTCTCCATTCGTACCACCAGCGGAAACCCTAACGTAATTTGTCTACTGCTTTTTACACAGAAAGACGTTATTTAAATTTGGAACGTCTAATATTTTCTTCTTCTACCCAGTATTCCGATATCGGATACCCACATTTAGACTTCGGTTGTATACAATTGTATTGTGTTACTATGCACGCGTAGGCTTTATCTGTTCGGTAATGATACCTATTGCATGACCGAAAATCTAACGTTTACAGAATAAGTGATAGTATCAAATAAAAAAACATAATACTTCTCATACATCCAAACAATTTAACCCTCGATTTTTTAACTGGAGCGAAGATCAATACTTTTTGTTGTTGTCATTTTTTTTAGTTATAAGATCTGGCGTTTATAAGTAGTAATTTTCATAACACGGATATTTACGATGGTTTTTGGCGGGCTTTTTTTTTTTTCTATTGTCGGCAAAAAGCCACGAACAACTGAAATATTATAACGGATAATAAAAATTCCATCGGTACACGACTAAGGTGACGATAGCTGCAGCAGTCTAGCGGCGAAGCGGTTAGTAATAAATCACTGGTTATTGTCAAGACGCGATACGATTAATATATACTTTTTTCCATCTCTCTTGCTCGTCCTTCCAAAATTATTAATACTGTCAACGAATAATGTAACAACACGAGCGGACGACGACAAAATAATATTATTATTATTATAATCCCACGGAGTGCCGCTGCTACGTTTGTACCTCTACCCCGTGGTCATCACTACATACTACTTGGTTTAATGTTTGACCTTTAATAGGCCGAGTGTTGTCGTACAACAAGAAAATCTAGATTTATAAGTTATCAGCTCAGTCATATCTGTGCGTAGAAGATATTTCTTGGACAAAACGTGCCGAAATGCCTTTACTTTAATTTTACGTTTGACAGAATTTAGACGTTGACAAAGAGTGCAATTTAAACCAACGTGGGGATTACCTACACAAGTACTATATTGAAAAATAAAACGAATGAATATCACTTGACGTCGATTAATCTTCCAAAGTGTTCCTTGGAAATTCAATAATTATAAAAAATTAACAATTTGACGCTCCATCGACAATGCGATAATTTCGTATGGTTGATTCTCTTTCGTTACACACATGTTACTTTTCATAGGAAGCTTATAAGTCCTCGTGCGTGGCTTAAACAATATCAATTTTTCACATAATCCTCTTGACACTGGAACCAAAGACGTTGTAATCATATTTCAACCGTACTCGGCCGCTATGCGATTAATAGTTTAATTTATTACGGTGCGGACACGAACTATTATCCGCAATACGTTGCACCAGGGGCTTCTTCCCCTACCGTTCAACACGCTTTCCCGAGTCTATAAACTCGCAGCCTTACAATAATACGGACAAGAATATGCGTGTTTCAAAGGCACATGATGTAACATGACTGGCTGTTACTCATTTTGCATTTAAAATTAAATTGTGTCCGCGAAAGCGCTTCTACCCGGACGTTGTGTTGGAATTTTCATTTGATTTTGCTATGTGTCTACGTCGGCCCAATAAAGGCTTTCATGATTATGCAAAATTATGTTTCCATCCCTTTATTCGTACAACAGTTTGCCGGATAATGATCGAATAAATAAAACGAAATGAATAACAATAACTCCAGTAATAGTACGGGTCCGCTTTAAGTAGCGGCTTCTTTGGCGGTATCAAAGATAAGGCATGGTGTTCGGTTCAACGACTTTGTTTTTCCATTAAAAAGGCCGAGATTTCGGTTTAATTAAACGATACCGTAAATAGTCGATCGATACACAGAGTCAATTTTACCTTGCCGTGAATTTCAATTGCGACAAACGAACGACCCAGTCATCTCGGTAACTGTAATTCTATGCGATCCTGTTGATTACAAAATTATTTTTATTAACTCGGTGACCTGTCAATGAGTAATGCGCCGTGCGCTGTATCGGAAAAGGAACTTTTATGGTCTATTAAAATAAAAATATAACTTCAATTCACATAATGATGATTAAGTACGCAGTATTATTATTCCCCACGGACATTTGCTTCCTGAAAATGGTAGTTAAAAGATTTTATTTAAACGAAACAAACGATGGAGGGCGTAGGTTAACGTGATCATATTACTGTAATTGTTGTTGCTTTGCAATCACATTGCGTGTGCAAGTTAAATAATAATTATAATTGCGCAAATAAACATTTTGTTTAACCTTAGCGTTTAATTAAATTACCAAATCAAAATACTACCGGGAGTTATAACCACGTGAGAAAAAAAATAACCTCTATAGCATGTTTGTGTACAAAATGCGGTGGGCGGTAGCTATAAGTTTATAAAGTTTCGGTCGACGACGGATAAATCCCAGTCACGGTTGTTGTGACGGTGTGGGAGGGGGTCGCCCAGCCAGAGGGGAATATTTTGAGGATGGAATAAATTGCTCGTAAGTCATAATATTATTATACCCCGTGCGTTTCTGTGCGAGACATTTCATTATTGCACACAAAACACTGCGGCAATTTTATGGGCTTCGTTATATTATCCGCATGGCCGATGTTCTTTGAGTGTATTCCACCCTATGTGCTGGTGTGCGTCCCGAAAAATTGTATTTATATTCTGATTAGCATGAATGAAAGGTGGCGATGATCAAAAGGTGTCGTGTAATGGTCGGCATAATAGTATTTTTCCGACTCGATAGCTGTTTATAATTATTGTGGTTAACGTCGTCGCTGTGTGTGTGTTATCATCGTCGTTATTGTTAATAATTCTAATATAATATTATAATTTAGGGTACGTGTGTTATTGCTATATCATAATCGACGACAAAATCTATGATAATCCGTGACGGATTATTTTCCATTAAATGGCCTCCCTCACAAAACCGCGCAGGAAGTGAGCTTTCCGTGTGGTTTATATTGTCGGTTGTTGTTATACCCCTACAAAAGTAAAGGTATAACTATACAAATACCAATGCAGTCTAAAGTTTTTTGAGAAAAATTGCTTAAAAGAATAACTTTTAAGAAATAACTTTCTGTAGGCTATAAATCTTGAAAAATATATTTTCACAGAAATCTTTGAACACTGTTTTGTTTTGTTTTTTAGTTTATTAATTAAGTAATTTAACATATTGTAACGCACTTTAAACGTAACGCCGTTATTTAATTTTTTTTGGAATTAAGCAATTTTTTTATTGATCAATTTTTAGTACGTTGACTTGTATACGTTCTGATGAAGTCTGGTACACATTTAAAATGTCCACTTTATAATTTCTGCTTTATTATTATCTTTGTTAACGTCTAATCAGTATTTATGTATTTAAAAAT